GTTTTAATAAAAGCAAAGCATGTCAGATTTATAAAGATTTCCTATTTGTCCCTTATCCTATCATTCTTTTGCATTCCTAAAAACAGATGCAAACTATGCCTGGAAGAAAAAATTAAAATAATTAAGTACAAAAATACAAGCCAGTTATTGAACCAGAGAAATGAAATTATACTTAAATGTCATCATAAAAATAAGTTTATATAGTCTTAAAAATAGACATTTATTTTGCATCAAACACTGAAAAATATATATTAGGTTTGTAACCATGTAAGTTTATATATATGTATGTATATATGTATATGTGTGTATCTATCTATTACTTTTATTACTATTGTTATTACTTTAAATATATTATATATATATTTTTTTATTACTATTAAATGATGATGATGTTTAAATGAATAATGACATAGATTGCATTTCTGTGATTTTTATTACTGGTTGCGCAGTTAAAGTTTTATCCATAAAAAATTTTCCCCTACCTTCCCTTACTGCAATATTTTCAAAAAAAATCTAAAGTAGGATCTGTAATGTAATCGGTACTGAATTAACTTCTTGACTTCAGCTGCTTTCTCACAGACGTGATGTGGCTTCCCTCTGTCTTTTCTACAAATATTTTCATGGCTACTGCACTGATGAGCATTTTTTCCCTGGTGCCCTGACTACATGAATTTAAGTATACTACTAGATTGGCATCTAGGTCCCAACTTTTTAGTGTTGAAATAGTTAAATGTAACCGCCCTTCTAACAGTTTCTTTCCTTGCACTTCTCCATATTGGAACTCTATTCTTCTCACTTGCTTCCCTGATAACTACAATCATCAAAAACTTAAATGCAACCTCAGTCACCATGTTTTGTTGCGTTGATACCTGTTCTTTTTTTCCTTTCTTCAATCCCCCCTACACCCACTCTTTTCTCTCATTTTCACTCTCCATAACCCCCTGTGTGATAATGGCACTTCTGACTTGCTTGGGGTGAAATGCTTAAAAGAAAACCCCAAAACATTGAATATAAAATAATTAGGGTACTGACAAAAGCATCTATTAAAATAATTAGGGTACTGAAAATAGCATCTACCACAAAGGTAAATCTCTCCCTACCAACAGCTAAAATAATAAAAAAGTGCTCAATACAATATATATATATATATCAGGCAGGATGTGTGTGTGTGTGTGTGTGTGTAATGAATGCATGGTCGCAATTTTCGATGGATTTGCACCAAAATTTACATGCATATGCTCCAAGTTAGCGGGAAGGCCAAGATTGACTTTGCATTTTCCAACTCCCATCGATAGTGGAAAGAATCAATTTTTTCATGCTTCTACGGCAGTTTTCATGTAGTTTGCAGCCATTTTCTACTGTCCAGCATGAGAGCCAACAGCTGACTGACACGAATGTTAACTAGCATGCTAGCATGCAAAAAAAAATTGATAGCTGCATTCGTCACAAGTGGGAAAAATTTAAATCTGCATGGCACTTTACTCCAATTGGCTCATTCGCTTGCTTAAACTCAATGTTGATTCTGATTCCGCAGAAATAGGTTGGGTGTGAAAAAGTATTTGTTGTTAACATTCTTTTTTCATTTGGTTTTCCAGTTACGAGTCCTTTTTTAAAGCTGATCGTTTTGTGTTCATTTTGTTTAGTTTTTTTTTTCGTAACAGATTTAATGTTTAGTATAGAGCTTAGAAAAAATTTGCAGTGTGCGATAGGCAAGAAGTAAGGCATGTACCAACATTGGCACGGCAAAGGGCACTCCTTTAAAGGCAAGGAAGGGCAAAAATATTTTAAGTCAAGTGATAGCGATTGCTGTATGAGTCGTATGATTTTTGAATCAAGCACAGGCAACACCGGGCCATGCTGCTAGTATTACATAAAAAGCTTAATCGCAGTAACTTGTCAGTTATCTTTTGAAATATATATATATATATATATATATATATATATATATATATATATATATATATAAAAGAAGGATTGCTGTTAATCACTACTCCATAGCAAGATGGGCTTAGAGGTATTTAGTAAATTTATCTTACTTTGGCACAAGGCCTCAAGTGTAGTAACATTTAGTGGTAATTGAACACCTAATAGTCATGGTTTGTATAACTAGCTTACTAACCACTACTCCATAAGTCATATTTTTGTTTTTGCCTGAGTATGTAAATAATTACACTTTAGGTAACTATTTACCTATTTATATGTGTCTGTTAATGGAATGTCTATATATAAATATCAGAATCATTAAATATGAGACATTTTTTATGGCTATAATCATATCCTTAGATAGCTCTTAAAAGTTCATTATTAGAATTGTAATGTGTTTCCTTCAAAGGATGGAGTTATTTCCCTTATTTTAATTATCATCATCAAAGCTTAAATAAATGTTAGTGATATTAACAAAATTAGTTGTTTTTATGCAGGAAACATTCTGCATTCATTGAGCAAAAAGCCTTACCGTTGATTGAAATTATAAAATGTTTCTCTTGAAACAGTTTTTCAG